GCTTGTTGCCCAGGCTGGTCTCGAACTTCTGGGCTCAAGTGATCATCCCACCTCAGCCTCCCAAGTAGCTGGGATTACAGTCTCCTCCTTTATTTAAAAATGAATAAATATCCATTGAATGCCCATGGATTGCCAGGCACTCTGCTAGATGCTAGAGAAGTAATAGTGAACCAGACAGGCCCTGCCCTGAATGAGCTTTCAGTTTCCTGGAGGTGAAACAGGTAATTATAAGGCAGCGAAGTAAGTACTGTGGTGGGGTGTTTGCTAGGCCCCCCGTGGAGGAACATGTAAGAGTGACCCAAGCTTGTCACACTGGATCTGGGAGAGCTTCTGAGTTGCATGACATTTCAGCTGAATACTAAAGGACAAGTGGGAATTGTTTTCTAAGTGGGAATTGTTTTCTAAGTAAGAAAGCAATTTCAGTATTTCTTCTCAGAGTATTCAGTAGTCCTACTGTGAAGTTTCCATTGTCAACCAAAGCAGAGGAGAAAAGTAACAAAATATTTTAAGTTATCTCTTAATCTGGGAAAAAAGAGCTGTAGTCTGATTGGACTAGAAGGTTCTTCAGGTGCAGCTCACCACGCTTTCTTCTGTGTGCTCAAAACAAATGACAATCGGGTGAACTGGATTTCTATACCCTGTATGAAATGTGCAGATACATCCCCGACCTAAGTGAGTGTGGCGGGGGCAGATGCACCTGCAATGAGAGCACCCTGATTTCGCTCCATGTTTTAAAAATCCCTCTCTACCTAGTTACCCAGGAAGAAATCTAAGTGCAGCTTCTCTGCACACACACAGAAGGATTGCAGCACGGACCGGGAAGCGCAGGGGAAGGAAGGTATTAACGCAGCATCTTCCAGCCATGCCGATTCCATTTAATTCCCTCAAATCCCGCCTTCATCAGTGTGATTGGACAGTTTGCCTTGGACTTATCCTAAGCTGGAGCATCCAATTTGATTAGGTGGGATTTGCTGAAGAACCTGATTTCCAAGAGTTGCGGAAGCAGACGTTGCCCAGGAAATCATGTCCTCGAATCAAAGCCAACACCCCAGACACCCAATCCCACCAGTTAGAAGGAGACACAAATAATCATAGATACACTGTTATATAAAATGAAGATTTCAGTGTTTATTAATTACAATACAAAGTAAAATCACAGAACTATTTTAAACAAATGTAGCCATTTAAAAAAAAACTTTAAACAAAAAAGTGATTTTTTAAAACTCAAAGTAAGAAATCTAGTACAAGCAAAAATGATGTTTTAAAGTATCATCAATGAATGTTCACACAGACTTTCCATCCCAATAATATAAATTTATATCTTCAATCTTACACAGCAACAAAGGCACAGTGAGAAAGACAGCAATTGCTTCTGAAAGAAAATCAAAGAGACGTACAGTGATGATTTTTTTCTAAAGGATCTCAGGGAGTTGAAATAAGGCCTGCTTCTCCACCGGCTGACTGTGAAGGGAACAGCAACCTCCTCTCCTCTGATTCTACCTTTGAAGAGAATAAAAGGAATGCATTGTAACATTCTCTCCCAAAGAGATGCAGAATTTAAGCCTAACCCCCAAGGAAATGCTGTAATCAAAGTAAATACTAATCCTGGTCTTACATTAATAAATATTGTTAATAGCATGTTATAGCATTCAACAGCAATTCTTGCTAATCTTCCTCTGAATTTTTAACAAAATCTTCCTGGTTTAAAAGAATAATTCCAGTAGCCTGGAAATGACAAAAAGGCTGCAACTTTGGGCCAGATAGCATTGTTAAAGACCAACAACATTCAATAATGAGAAGACAGCACACAGTACGGAGGGTTTGTCATTCAAGTACTCATTATCCAAATCCCTGCAGTCACAGGATTTTTTTGTAGAGAAGCAGAGGTTGTCAAAATGTGAAAATGCACAATGCCTGAGCACATATAAAACCAGTCCTTCGTCAAAGAGTGACCTTAATTAACACAAACTTCGGTCCCAGTCCATCAGGTCAACCTCTGCTATAAGTCTTGTGCAGATTGCTACATGTTGAAACGTCTGAAAACATATCATGAATTAACAAATAAAATTAGAGTCTAATGAAATTGCAAAATTGGCAAAACACATAGATTTCATGAAGTCAGTGGAAGTGATGTCAGAGAGAAGCTGAAATCACAGCAAAGCCACTGTCAAATACGGATCTGGCAGAACAGGACCAGAAAACAACTGAAGAAAAGAAAATGGACAAGGATGATAATAGGTTCTTCAAGAAAGAAAGATCTACATGTTGAAAGATTGAGAGGAAACTGTTGAAAGGCTCAAATATTTTTCAAAAAATGACCATATCTATAATGCCATTCCAAATATTAAGTATATCACACACTAACAATTTTCCTGAAATATTAAACCCCCATAGCAACATTTGATTTATTTTTCATTCATCCCAAATTCTAGAACATAGTTGCATTTACTATATGAAGATTCATTTTTCCAGATAAAGTTTAAAAATTTTGACCATGAAATTGTACTCCCTGTCTTAGGTAGTACAATGTCAGTTCCCTCTGTATGTTCCCAGCCTACTGCATCTTGCTCATAGTTGATTCTCCAGGACTTTGCGGCATGTTTCCTAACATCCCAGAGAATGAATCTCTAGTTAGTCCAAGGCCTCCTTCAATGTGAAAGGCTCATCTAAATGTTTTGTGCCAACCACTCTCATATCAGTCTTCCTGTGGCTCAACTGGCCTTGAGTCTTATATCACTTTGAAGCCTTTGACCTTGGTCTTTTCCACCCTTTTGAAGAGACAGATGCTAATTTAATACACCGTCAGGCAGGAATACTCTCTTTGCCCGCCAACCCTTACCGACAGCACCCAGCTCAGGGGTGGGCCTGCTTCTGAGTCCCAGCTGTGCAGTCTTGTCTCATCACTGTGACGACTTCTCCCTTGTAGGGTGCGCGCTCCACTGGGGTGGGTGTACAGGTCTGAAACAGAACATTTCATTTCTCTCTTGTGGTTTATTATTGACTTCTCGAATTCAAAGCTAAGTGCAGCTCCCTTTATGACTTGTGAGAGCAAAAAAAGAATCTTGTGAATTTATCATGTGCCTTCCAGCCCCTTGCCCTTTCACAGAAATCCCTGGCAACCTTGGGGATCTGGGTTGTCCCACCTTTAGCCGGTGTCAATCTGCATCAGACAGAGGCCCAGGGAACCCACATGGGGGCCTCTGCCACATCCTCACACCCTTCTGCGTCTGGTAACTGTGTGTGGCAGTCCTTTCCGACATCCTCCCTTTTCTTGTAGTTTCAATCCTACTTATCTGTGTTCCCAGAGTGCTTCATTGTAAGACTTTTCAGAGCAGTGGCTCCAGATTATAGCAATTTGTGTGTGTGTTTTTCATTGTCCTGACTGCCTTTGTGAATAACAGACCTTCTGTAGAATCTCACCTCTTGGGTGACCAACCACCCAGCAGAACCTTCTGCTGGATTCAGCTAGAGTTAATTCAGTGCATGAGCAAAGTTTTGAAATTTGGACACACACACACACACATACACACACACACGAACAAATAACAAATTATTGCACATCGCATTTTGACCGCCCAAACTAATATATTGTAGTGATCAACCATGTGGCCTTTGGAGTAAGATGGCTCTAAGTTTAACTTCTCCCTTTGCCATTTACTACTCGTAGGAAACTGACAAGTTAATTAATGCCTCTGAGCCTACTTCCTCACCCATGAAATGAGGGAATAGAACCCATCCAGAGACAAAGCATTTCCTTCCTTCATTCAACAGGTATTTACTGAGTTCACATCACGCCAGATATTTTGTCAAGCACAGAGGATACAGCGAAGACCAAGGCCAACAGCCCCTATAGCTGTGGACCATGAAGCATAGTGTCTGGCACACTCTGAGCACCCCAGCAACTGGGGGCACCCCAGGCCTCCCCGGTCCACTTTGTGTCTGCTTCGATGCTTTGCTGGCCTCCATCTGGGCTCATTGTCTACTCAGTCCTTTTTTCGACTTGTTTCTTGTCATCATCTTGAGGAAGACAGACACCAGGAAATGAAGTGCCAGCCTCCCATTTCTGCCACCAGCCGCTGGACATTGTGGTTGCCTGAATGACCACGTCTGAAGCCTTGAATTCCCCTGACACCCCACCCTCAGACCACGTCTTTGCATTCAGGTCTTTGTTCCTTGTCCCCTTTCCTCTCCTGGCTTTACTTTCTAAGCCAGACTGCATGATACAGCATTTAAACCTCAGGTGACCATATAATGTATCATCCAAACTAGGAGACTTCTGAGAGTGAAAAGGGTACAAACATAATTATCAAGCATAATCCAGGACTTCTGGGCAAACCAAGATTTATTTCCACCTTCCTTCAACTCCTCTCTTGCCTGTCATCTAGAGGGTCTTGCCTTTCTCTCAGCGCCCCTGGCAACTGCACTCAGCAAAGCCCGTGTTATATCTCAGTTCCACCATCAGCCTTGCCTGCAGCTGGGCACCCCCGAAGAAAGGGACATAGGTGGGCAGACATTGGTGCCACCTACCTGTGTGCTGTGTGGCCCTCATCAGCTCCCACTCCGTCTCCCTCTTCCTACAGAGTTCCTTTGAACCTTGTCTACTTGTGCTTTTCAGCTGTTGCTTTTTTTGTCTGTCCTGGACTCCTTGGGAACTGACTGCCAACACCAACGGTTCAGGCGGGGCCATCCTCCTCAGCCGGGCGAGGGCTTGCTCGACAAGCTGCTCAGCCCTGCACAGGCCCCCTCCCCTGGAACCCAGTAGCAGGCCCAGGGACCATGCATGACACAAACCAAGCAAATCAGAACCCTCCCAGCATCCTTCTGTCTGGGCTACTCCTTCGCACGTGCTGGGATGCCCGCCCCTTTCACCTAAGTATCTCTGACTTTCATAACTCAGCCCAGGTACTCATCAGTCTAGGGAGCAGTAGCTCCCCCTGCCCCATCCCTCTCTTGCTCACCACAGTTTTCTGGAATCATCTGTTTACTTGTCTGTCTCCTCCAGCAGACTGAGGGCCTGCGTACTGCCGTGTCTCCATAGCAAGTGCTCAATAAAGACGGGTGGAAGGTGTTTTTTGGGGGGTGGGGGAGTGAAGGGGCCTTCCCATCTTTCTTTCTTCTTTTTGTGGGTTGTCCTGGCCTGAGCTGACTCAGTTTTCCTCATACTTTTTTGTTGTGTTTCATCATTTATCTGTTCTCCAAAAAATCTCTCTCTTTGGCCGGCTGCCTTCCGTGGGCAGGTCTCAGGTCACCCGTTTGTCTAAAAACCGCATTCTGGCTATTCAGTTACTACACTAGCAACACCACTGAGTAGCATGTAGCCCGACTGATCACCCTGGTCAAGCTGACCGCCACCTGTCTCCGACATGACTGGCCAGGTCTAATCTGCACACAGTCTCACTCTGAGGCTCCCGGTGGGCGAGGTCTGCTTTCCTTCCAGAATGGCCATGGATGTGAGACCTGCCTGCCTACTCTGCCACCTCAGAAACAGGCCAGCCTTCCTCCAGGAGTCTTTCACTGTCTCACACCCCACAGTCTCCCCTTAAATAGACAAGCTGACAGGAATCAAAGACAACTTAGGTTGCAGTCTCTAGCCTCTCAGCACTTTTAACCTTCTAATATTTTCTCTTCCTTAGAGGTGGGTTGCATAAGCTCTGTAATGGCTAGACTCGTGTCTTATTCATCTCTGTGCTGCCTATTGCCCCTGGCGTTGTACTCTATGTGTGTTTTAGAATGTTGCTAGATGTTCATTGTGACAAAATGAAAAAGTGATGGCACTCACTCTGCAGAATCTTAAACCGTCACTGCTGTTATTCAGAATTCAGTTGCACATCTGTTTTCTAAGTAGACGTAACCTACAACTCTTAGAAATGCTAGTCTGTTCCTCCTCTCTCGTGACAACGGCAAAGCTCTATCTGAAGTGCACAGTGCCCAGCCTGGCGTGGACCCAGCACATGGGCTTCTTTCTTTGTCATCCCAGATGAGTATGGAGACAATACAGATTCCATCCCAGTTCTCCTGGTTAAAAGCATACCCATTTCTTAGAGGACATCTACACAGCATGAAACACACAGAAAGGCTGGAGATCAGAGTGTTCCGGATTGAGCAACGTGAGCAGGTTATGGCCTGAATGTTCTCCTGATTGACTTCCCACCTCCCTGGTCAGCTTCCTCAGGCTGCTTTGCTGGTTCCCCCTCTCCTCAGCCTCTGAAGGTTGGCAGCCCCAGAGCTCTATCTTCAGCCCCATTTCTTCTTTCACAGTCTCCTTAGTGGCCTCGGAACCATGGTCTTAAATCTATCTGCTATGATTCCCAAATTTTATCTCCAGCCTTGATCTCTCTGAATTCCTCTCTCCAGATTGCTTTGTTCAAGCAGCTAATTGACCACAGCCCCGAGAGGTGTAAAAGTATCTCACATAGAACTAGGACTTAAGCACCATGAACCATAATTGAAATAAGTAGAATGTAAGCTCCTTGAGATCAGGTACCGCTGTCTTATTAATACCTATATCCTCAGCACCTAGAATAGTGCCTGGTGTTCAGCAAACATTTGTTAAATGAAGGGAGATTTCTTGACTATAGAACTTCTTGAAACTTTTTATATCATATTGGGCAACTGTATCACCCGAGGGTGCTGTTATTTGACAGCTTCCTCAAGGAGCACCTGCTTGTGTCCTGAGGACACATCTTTGGAAGGCCGATCTGGGTTGCAGCATCTTTTTTCCCCCAGTGCATGCTGGTCAAGATTAGATAATCGTATCTCAACAGCAATTCTTTCCATCTTGGTGGTATCTCAGTAAAATAAAATGGCTTGAGAGTAAGACCATGTGGGAGCCTATTGCTATAGTATGAATGTTTGTCCCTTCCCAAACTCATGTTGAAATTTAATTACCATTGTAACAATATTAAGAGTTGGGACCTTTAAGAGGTGATTAGGCCATGGGAGCTCTGCCCTCATGAATGGATTAATGCTGTTATTTCAAGAGTGGGTTCCTTACAAAAGGACGAGTTCAATCCCCTTTTGCCTGTCTCTCTTGCTCTCTTTTTGCCCTTCTACCATGTGATGTTGTCCACCATGAGAAGATGTGGCAAGAAGGCCCTTGCCAGATGCCAGCCCCTCGATCTTGGACTTCCCAGCCTCCAGAAATGTGAGCCAATAAATTTCTGTTCACTATAAATTACCCAGTGTCAAGTATGCTGTTACAGTAGCAGAAAACAAAAACACCTGTCCTAAATGGTACAGGAAACATACATACACTAGTGGTCTACTTTGGTAGAGGAGAGTTGAATTTGAGTTTTCAGTATTTAATGATAACTGTCATTGTGATGAGTTAATAGAAAGACAAAAATGAGAGTTATATGCATTACTATAAATAAACACTAATTGCAATCAACATTACACCTTCGTAATTGCAGAAATGCTTTTCGGTTAGCTGATTAGGGAAAGAGGAAGACGTGAGTTGATAGAAAATGTAATCATATTGTCTGCAGAGGATGGAGTGCCGGCTAGATTTTTCTGAGTAAAACCAGTAAGGAAGAATCTCAAAGGAATTACTGAAACAGTGGACAGCAGGCTAAGGTACTAAGATGTTAATAAAGACAAAAGAACTTCCAAGTACCAAATAGCAGATGCTGGCCCAACACTGAACAGTTCAAACGAACAGTGACTCCCAGAGAATGAAATCCATGCCCAGCCTGGTGAGTTGAGAGGACACCCAGTACACACTGAGAGAAGCTATCCAGGGCTCTGCGACTCAGTAGCACACGAGCAACCCTTAGGCTCAACAGAAGTGATCTATAACAATGAAAATTTGCATTTTGATAATGTTTTACAATCCACCGAATATCTCCATTTAATCCTCAAAATATCACCTGAGCTATTTCTCAAGGACAATGTAACAAAACTGGACCCTCCTATTTCAGGGCTGGCACCTTTGGTAAATTGGCCAGCCTGAGAGTACA